TAAACGAATGGCTGACAACTGAGTTCACAAAGAGACCAACATTTTTGGTCGGCCAGAACAACTGGCGCAGGGAGTTTTCCGCGGTGTCAGCTGGGTAGTAGCTGACGAAAAATACCCACATCATACTCACACACGCACAGATGGATAACAACTTTAGGACGAATGCTTACCTCCTCTGTGTCCCAGTGGAGGGGGAAATCCACAAAAGCTGCCGTCGTGACGGATTTAAGCCAACAGTGGGGAAGGGTTTGTGCGTAACAAACCCCCGTTTGATTGATCACTTGACATGTAACAACAGTAAGGCCTCCGTGGCGGGTTTGTCACTTTCACAGTCACTTTGATAATATTTTTATGTTTTCTCACACACTATCACAGATCGAACTTGTTTGCTGAGTCTTTGACAACGTCTGTCAGTGACGCTGTTCTTAAGACAACTGTCTTGCACTGCCGTCAGTGGGCGTCGAACACACGCTCGCTGGGGTCGCACTGGGGGCCTGCTGCCACCATGGGGGAGGCACTCGGACCGACATGCACTTCACTTCATTGTCACTCGAGTCACTCTCGCCCGCCGTCACTCGCGTGTCACTCGCGTACGCGCGCTCGCTCGCTCGCTCACTCTCGTCTGCGCTCACGCCGTCGTCACACTCTTCACGTCCGATCGCGCCGGCGGCTCCGTGCGGAATGGCCACTGCGCGAGTCGCTCCTACAGCTGACGCAACGGGACGGTGGCGGCGGGTGGCGGCGCGGCGCGGGGAGGGGGCGGCGCGGAGCAGCGCGGAGCGGCAGCGCGGCGGGCAGGGCCGGGCAGGCCGGGCGGGCGAACCAGTGAAGAAGGGATTGACAGAGCTGCGCTAAGCTCCACGCCGGGGCTACGCTCGCGCACCGTCCGTCCGTCCGTCGTCCGTCCACCCCGCCCGTCCGGCTGGCACGTAGGCACCACCGGGACACGGTCTTGATCGCCGCGTGACCGTACTACTACCCCTGAGGGGGTGGGTCCCGGTTCGCCCCCCCCCCCCAGCCTCGCCGTGTGCCCGCCGCCGGAGTGGGTGACCGTCAGTGATAAGGGTGCAGTGCGGCGGCGGGCCTCGCCCATTCATCCTGACCGCGACCCCACCCCACCCCGCCCCGCCCCGCCCCGCCCGACTCCCACCCACGCGGGGCCCCACACACCCTGCACTCCAGCGCGGGGATTTCCACCCGGGGCCGCGGTCCAGGGCCCCATAGCATAGCGCGGTGGGGTGGGGTGGTGGGGTGCCCCCCGGGGGCTCCGTGCGGGGCGAAGGTAAAGGGGCCGGCGAGGAGCGCAGCCACTGCTGCTGGGGGCTGGGCCCCCGCGGCAGGTCAGGGGGTGATGAGAAGTCCTTCACTAACACAAAAATTAGTTTTACCCCCTCCCCCAGAAAAAATCAGAAAAAATCATTTAAAAAAACAGAATTTCATAAAAAACAGGAAAAATTTGTACATGCTTGTGTATAGTGAAGGGCCCCTCGGGGTGTGACCATGCTGCACGAGAAGCGTCCCAAACACGCGGCTCGGAATTTCTACCTGGCTGAGAAACCCCGTGGAGGTATGCCGTACACTGTGCCGCTATGCACGCGTGCGGGCGGGTTGCCTACTCGCTCGGAGCCGTGAGGTGCCGTCATGGTAAAGACCGGTCAGGAAACTTGCCTTGCCCGCACGCTTGCTCTCGGTAAAATAAAATAAAATAAAACAAGAAAAAGGGGGAAATACCTTGGTACTTGCATGCGACAAACGTTAAGAACCCATTTTACAGGTTTTTACTTTTGGTGATACAGTAGTAGTAGGACTCGAGGGCCGAAGCAGAGCGCTGGGAGAGGGGATGACGGGGATCGTGGGGGCGGGGAGGGAGGAGGCGCTATCAGCCGCCACGCCACGCCACGCGTCTTCGATAAGGGAGCGGCAAGTGTGCAGCTGGGAGAGACAGAGAGAGGCGACAAGCAGGCAGCGAGCAGCGGCTGCACATTATGAAAATACCTTTATATGGTCCCTCCTCGTGGTGTCCCGGCCAGGCCCCATGGCCAGGCAAGCCTTATACCTTTACAACAAGAGGCCGCGGAGCCTATCCCCCTCCCCCCTCTTTTACATTCGTGAGGATGCGTTTTACGACAGGACGCGTCACCGTTGTCCTTGCCCCCCCCCCCCCAACCCAATCCTCCCCTCTAAAGGGAACGACTTGGTCCGCCCCTGCGTGCGCCGCGGCTGACAGGACGACCCCCGGCCCCGCCCTCGCATCATTGACAGGGAAGGCCTTGGTAGCGACCATGGATTCGAACGCACTTGAACGAGCGGGAGGGACTTCCCCTTCGAGGCTCACGAACCTTGTAGGCGCGGACCCGAAGAGGGGGCGTGAGGAGCCAAGTGAACCACCCCACCTCCATTTTGGAACCTTAACCGACCAATGTACGGGTAGGCAATTTTTAGAAGATGGTCCATTTAAAACACTTCGCACTGAAACTAACTAACACATGCCATATGATAATTAAACATTTAATTAACTACATGTAGTTTGCTTCGATTATCATGTTCAACGAGTCTAGAAAGACCTTTTTTTGCCACAATCACCCGCGCAAAGTACACGCACATGAGGCGTAATAATTGGCTTCCCTCCTCTAGGAGGTCCGGCTGGCGTCCTCCCGCTCACGACTCGCCCGCTCGGGGCGCGGAGAAATGAATGAGAATGGCCGCGGCGAGCTTCCTGGCGCGTCCTACGCACCGCAGTGCACGCTGCTGCAGGCCGCACCGGCAGCCTTGGCAGTGAAGGCCGTGCTGCCGCCGATCACCTGGCCTGGCCTGGGCTGGGCTGGGCGGCAGTGCGACATCAGCCCCCGAGCAGATTTGGACGCTCGTGAGTGTGTTTCTGCGGTCCAACCCCCCAGGGCGGGCAGTAAAATTAAGCTAGTTCCGTATCAGGACAACACGTCAGGCGTTTGCAGTGAAAAATGAAGTCAAATAGACCTCGGCTCTGCTCTATGGTCAGTTACGGGTTCTGACGGAACCCTTTCCTCTATCACTTTTCCTCTGCTGCTGACAAGGAGGAGGGGGTTCGGTTCGGCGGGATGGTTCCTATTTATTAGTGTACTCACCGGAGAACGCATGGCGATCTGTCCACCGAGGAGGATGTAGCGCTGCACGTCGTCCCAGCGGTGCTCCTGGCGCTCCTGGCTCGGCACCAGGCCGTCGGCGGTGAGCGGGCAGACCATGCTCCTCCTCACCACCTCTTCAACGGCATGGGCTGCGCGACACGCCGGTGACGGCACGACGGAGCACAGACAGACACACACAGGCAGACAGACAGAGACACCACGGTGACGGTGAGCTTGATGAGCACCGAGCTCGTTGTCGCTTGAGACTTGGCCGGTCCGGTAGTGCTTTCACGGCAGAGTGCACGCCGGTGTTATACGACGATCTGATTGATGAGCACACTCGATGTCGCTCTGGGCGCGCGCTGGTGGGCGAGCAGTGAGCGAGTGAGGGTCTTTGCCGATATCTCTCCTAGTGGCCGTCTTCTTTGCAACTGAAGTACCGCGGGCCCGGGGCCCCGGGTTCCCGGGGGGGAGTGTCCGCCGCCGGTCCCCGCTGGTTCCCCGCTGGTCCGGAGTGGCGTGGTGCCGTGGCAGTGACGCGGGCGACCCCGGCGTGTGGTGATTGTTTTCACAAACACACTATCGCCACGCCGTCATCGATTATTGTTTTTCCTTCCCTTCGTAGTGGACGCGCTCGCACTAATTTTACCCCGGCAGGGCGTGGGCCGTGGGGGG